AACTTATCAAACTCAACACCCAAAGAACAAATAATCCAATCAAGAAATGGGCAGAAAACATGAACAGACATTTTTCCAAAGAAGACATCCAAATAGCCAACAGACACATGAAAAAGTGCTTGTTTTTTATGACCTAAGAGTTACAATTTTATTTTTTATCAAAATTATTATCCTAAATATTTTTATTGGGTATTAATCATTTTTGAGAACCTAAACAATTTATAAATGTCTTAATTTACAGGTTGCAAGCACAAGAAAACAGTATAATGTACAGATTTCTCGACTAATAGAAGAACTGTCAGCCCTTCAAATGGTATGTTAGAAGACTATATTGATATTTTCTTCTGAATATTGATTATTTTAAAGTCCAGGATGCATGTTAATGTGTCTTGTAATGGACATTCTTGTTCATTCAGAAGATACTTATTAAGCCAAGAATTATGCTAGATGCTTGGAGAAGAGTAAAAATCAAAATAAACATGTTACCTGCAATCTTGGAACTTATGGTCTAGCAAGAAAGATGGATGGCATTTATCACATTTTACTACAATTACTTTTTTTGACAAAGAACACACAGGGTGCTATTGAAGCACCCATCTGCAACTGCTACCATATGCCAGGTTCATCTGGGAGATGAGGGAGAAAGAGAACATATATATGACAGTGGGAAAGAAGAAAGACAATCTTCCCAAAAAAAATGAGTACTGAAGTATAAGTAAGCAAAGAGGAGAAAGGAAAAGAGTACTTGTGTGTCTAGAGGTGAAATTAAATATGTAAATTTAACAAGATTTGATGAAATGGAATTTAATAGCCTTGCTTACAGGGGAATAAAAGTACAAGAATCTTCAGAGATTGGGAAGATAGTTTCAACTTCACAAACTCTAATATTTTCTGAATCTCTATATTGCTTTTAATCTTGACTACAAAACTTAGCAATGAATAATGTCTTGTAATAAATACGTTATATTATGTTAGTTCTCTCTGTCTCCTGTCTCCCTCCTACCCTCTCCCTAGCTCTTTCTTCATGAAAATCTTATCTTTCCAATTAGATTGTAAATACCTCAAAACAGAAGAGTCTTAAGCCTCCTTTTATTTTCCCCATTGCCTAGCACAGTGTTTTCACAGTATGTTCTTTAATAAATATTTACTGACTGGTATTTAAACAACTCTGAAAAAGGAGCACATGTTCCACATTCTACAAACTCTGTAATGTACATGATGAGACTTTTGTCTTTGTGTATAGATCCTGAGAGTAACAGAACAAGAAATTGTTACTTTTTGTTTGTTTAATGTCATGTTTTAAGGGTGAAGGAACATTAAGTAAAATTAATGGGATGCCATGTGGCCAATTAGTCATGTCTAATTATTTGTTGCTTTTCAGTTTTGCTTCCTCTTCTATCACCTTGCTCTTGTGCTTGTTCTCTTACGTGGACTGATTTAGCTCTCAGCAGATTCGCAGCTTAGAAGAAGGTCCTACCCCAGTCCAGCATCATTTAATGGCTTATAAACTCTGAAAGGACAAGAACACTATTTCTTTCTCTTTTCCCAAAGAAATGCGTGTTGGATAAGATCTGCAGAGATTTTTAAAATAGTGACTCTTAACAACCACAACCAGAGTTACGTAAACTCACTTTAGAGCAAAAATTTTTATTTCAGTTTATTACAAAAAGGTATTTCTTATGATTTATAGTAAAACAATTGTAATCCATAGCTAAGTGGATTTTTCTAAAGATATTAAATATTGTCTGATGTCATATTGATTCCATGGGGAAAACTGTGCTGATTAATTGAAAAGTGTTTTAAATATTAGGCATTGAGAAATATGTCTGAAGGAAGACACATTTGATTACTTTAAAGAGCAGATTTTCTCAGGTAACTCAAAAACTCAGACTGTGGTTTGAGACATAATAACCTGACATTGGCTATTGATTTATATTCTTAAGTACCGAAGTCAAGGAGAGAAGTTAAGCATACTTTAGCTAACCCAAAACTAAGTTACGCTTGTAGGAAGGAGAAAAACTTGTGTTTTAGGTTAGTGTGCAGATTTTTTGATAGGTTTAAGAAAAGACCTGAGCCAGTCTAGCCACACATCTCCCTTTGGAAAGCAGCACAGCTTTTATTTTCTCCTACAGGGTACAGTTTCTTTTAAAAATACTCAAGGTTGGGGCGCCTGGGTGGCTCAGATGGTTAAGCATCTGCCTTCGGCTCAGGTCATGATCCCAGGGTCCTGGGATCGAGCCCCATGTCTGGCTCCTGGCTCAGCGGGGAGCCTGCTTCTCCCTCTGCCTCTCCCCCTGCTCGTGCTCTCTCTCTCTCTCTCTGTATCTCTGTGTCTCGAATGAATAAATAAAATCTTTAAAAAAAAATACTCAAGGTTTTTTGGGTGTTGAATTTAAGAAGTTCTTTATAGATCTTGGATATCAGCCCTTTGTCTGTAGTGTTATTTGCAAAAATCTTCTCTCATTCCATGGGTTGCCTCTGGTTTGTTGACTGTTTCCTTTGCTGTGCAGAAGCTTTTTATCTTAAGTCCCAAAAGTTCATTTTCACTTTTGTTTCGCTTGCCTTTGGGGACGTGTCTTGAAAGAAGTTGCTGTGGCTGATGTCGAAGAGGTTACTGGATTTTGATGGATTCCTGTCTCACATTGAGGTCTTTCATCCATTTTGAGTTTATCTTTGTGTATGGTGTAAGAGAATGGTCGAGTTTCATTCTTCTGTATATAGCTGTCCAATTTTCCCAGCACCGTTTATTGAAGAGACTGTCTTTTGTCCATTGCATTTTTTTTCCTGCTTTGTCAAAGATTATTTGACCATAGAGTTGAGGGTCCATATCTGGACTCTATTCTGTTCTATTGGTCTATGTGTCTGTTTTTATGCCAGTACCATGCTGTCTTGGTGATCACAGCTTTGTAATACAGCTTGAAATCAGGCAACGTGATGCCCCCAGCTTTGTTTTTCTTTTCCAATATTTCCTTGGCGATTCAGGGTCTTTTCTGATTCCATACAAATTTTAGGATTGTTTGTTCCAGCACTTTGAAAAATGCCATTGGAATTTTGATCAGAAAGGCGTTGAAGGTAGAGATTGCTCTGGGCAGCATAGACATTTTAACAATTTTTATTCTTCCAATCCCTGAGACGACGATTGGATAAAGAAGATGTGGTCCATATATACAATATACTCAGCCATCAGCAAGGATGAATACCCAACTTTCACATCAACATGGATGGGACTGGAGGAAATTATGCTAAATGAAATAAGTCAAACAGGGAAAGTCATTTATCATATGGTTTCACTTATTTGTGGAACATAAGGAATGGAGGACATTAGGAGAAGGAAGGGAGAAATGAAGAGGGGGAAGTCAGAAGGGGAGACAAGCCATGAGAGACTATGGAGTCTGAGAAACAAACTGAGGGCTTTAGAGGGGAGGGGGGGGATGGGTTTGCCCGGTGATGGGTATTAAGGAGGGCACGTATTGCATGGAGTACTGGGTGTTATATGCAAACAATGAATCATGGAACACTACGTCAAAAACTAATGACATACTGTATGGTGACTAACATAATAAAATAAAAAAAAAATTAAAAAGCAAAAAAAAAAAGAATACTCAAAGTTTTAATTCTGCCAACTAGCAGAGATTGCTGTTAATCTACAGCAAATGAGTAAGAAGATTGGTTATTAATTTTATACAAGTTAAATGAAAAGTTCCTTATGATCTTTTTTGAATCAGTGAATTTAAAAAAAAAAAATTTTTTTTTTTAATTTTGAATCTCCATGTCTGTAGGTATTTAGATATCTTTTTATTATTGTTTTCTAATCCAGTTAAATAGATGCCACAGATTATAATCTATATGATATTGATTCTTAATATTTGTTATGATTTTCTTTATGGTAGACTATAGGATATGATTTTGAAAATACTCCATGAGTACTTGAAAAAATATTTAGTATCATTTGGTCATATCTTTCCCAAAAGGTAGGAGTATTGGTGGTGATTAATAGCAAATATCCATGAAAGCTTTTTAATAATAGTAATTTTAAATGTTTGCTTTAGCATTACAGTGAATTTTTAATAGAATTAATATATTTCTCTATAAAGATTTCAACTTTTCTGTCTTATTTTAACTTTGAGGTTAACCCAATACTCTTTCAGTCCTCATTTTATCAATGAAGTGGTGGATTGGGTGGAGAGAGATGCATAGGGTATTTATCATGTACCTTTCTTTTTATGTCATTCACCAGATTCAGAAGTGTGATCCAACATGGTTATTAATATCTACATTAAAAATCATATGGGAATCATATCAATAGCATTTGACAAAAATGCTATTGACAAAAGCATTTGACAAAATCCATTTGACAAATGCATTTGTCAGAAAAAGCATTTGACAAAATCCAACCCCCATTCATGATAAAAACTCCGAGTAACTAGAAACAGAGGGGAACTTCCTCAACTTGATAAAGAATATCTACAAAAAGCCTACAGCTGTGAAACCAAAAAGATCAGGAACAAGGCAGTCATGTGCCCTCTCACCACTGCTTTACAACATCAAACTGGAAGTACTAGCTAATGCAATTTGACTAAAAAAGGAAATAAAAGTTGTACAGATTGGGAAGGAAGAAATTTGTTTGCAGATGACATGATTGTCTACGTAGAAAACAAACCAAAAAAAGAACAAAAAAACTGTGGAACAAAAAAGCAATTACAGCATAACAAGGTTGCAGGATACAGGGATAATATACAAAAGTCAAGTGTTTTCCCATATACCAGCAATGAACAAATGGAATTTTAAATTAAGAACATTTTGCCATTTACCTTAGTACATAAAAAAATTACTAAGTTATATATCTAACAAAATCTACACGAGGAGAACTCTGATGGAAGATATCAAAGAAGAAGTAAATAAATGAAGAGATAACCCATGTTCATGGATAGGAAGACTCAAAGTCAAAATGTCAGTTCTTCCCAGCCTTATCTATAGATTGAGTACAATCCCAGTCAAAATCCCAGCAAGTTATTTTGTGGATATTGACAAACTGATTCTAAAGTTTATCTGGAGAAAAGGGTTAGTATCCAAAATCTATAAAGAACTTACCAAACTCAACACCCAAAAAACAAATAATCTAGTTAAGAAATGGGCAGAATACATGAATAGACACTTTTCCAAAGAAGACATCCAGATGGCCAACAGACACATGAAAAGATGCTCAGCATCACTCATTATCAGGGAAATACAAATCAAAACCACGATGAGATACCACCTCACACCTGTCAGAATGGCTAAAATTATAGCACAGGAAACAACAAGTGTTGGTGA